AACTTATTACTAAGCTAATTTTTTTAAACGGACAAGAATTAGAGATTATTTTTGACTATGGAGTCCTACAGCTCTAATGAAACCTTTTTATTTCATTATGATTAGGTTTTGTTTTTTTAAAAAGTACTCTAAACTGTATAAATAATGTAAAATTAAATTGAATTTATTGGCCAATCAGACGACTTCTGTCTATGAACTACAGTGTGGGTGGGAAGGGATGGGGCGAGAAATGCTAACTATATGAATTAATGTTCGATGAGGAAAAGTTTTACGACCCTTTTTATATTAGCTATTTCGGTGGCTTAGGATTACGTAGCATGTTCTTGTCGATCGACTCCTGGGTCGTAGTACGTGATATTTTGCCCTTGACAAATGCTCCCTGTCTTTTCGATCTGTTGACCCTTGTCAACATGCATTTATGAACATTCGAACATCGGTCAAAATTTTTTACCGATGCTCGAAAATCTAGAGTTTGTGACCAATCAATGCTCGAAGCTCATCGATTCCAATCTCTAATTAACAAACCAAAATTTTTGTATTACGAATTGATCAATATCTAAGTAATTGAAAACATTGACAATCAAATCCAACTAATTCAAAAACAATGATAATTGGTGAATAGTAATGATTTATTAATCAAATACTTGAAATAATCTATTAGGTCACGAATTTTCAAGTTCTTTAGTATCGTATTTATCAATTGAACACTTTCATTACTAGTTTAGCGTAATTGTGTTATGCAACTATTTATTAGTATTATATCTGTTACGGCCATTACACTCATCCATTACAACCATTATACCCATTGCAACTATTACACCCATTACTACAATTACAACTTCAAGGCAAAAGGTTGCAACCTTTCAACTCTAGTAAACCTATTACGTTAGGCAACCTTAGTACCCATCATTCCATAATAAATCAATTTTTATTAAATGAGTATTCTAGGCTTTATGTTTAGGTCCTACCAATGAATGCTAGTCTTCCAAAACAATTCTAATTCTTGATTTTTGTTTACGAATTCTATATCATACCTTGTTAAGAGCGCTACTAAAAACATTTTAACTTCGATCACTGCCCAAAGTCTTCCCTGTTATTGTAAATTGAATGCATATATTTTAATAGTTGAATATATAACCTTTATAAATGTACAAATTACATACTTAGCACCCCCACCAAACGGCACAAATGCACTCTTGTTATTGGCTATATCAGCATTCTTTGATCGTATACTATCATTATTTCTTAAAAATCTATCAGGATCAAAAATTTTGGCATCAATCCAATCCCTTTCATTAGACTGAATTCCTTGAAAATTTCCAAAAAACGAATGGCCATCTTTCCAAATATATCCACCAATTTCCACAATTTCCACAGGTTCAGAATTTGATCGGGGCATTACGGGAATTATAGGATGGGCGAAGAACTTCGTTTATTATAGCATCACAATACTGAAGTTTTTCGATATCTTCGTAGAGAATCTTTTCAGGAGGTGTTACCAGAGAACCAAATATTGAGCCGACTTCTGAGAGAAGTTTGATTTTACAAAAGGATATTTGCACACATAATATATTGTCAAGCAAATTCTATCAATCAAGAAACACTAATAAGTTGATTATATTTATACTTGATATTTATATTATTTGAAATGAGTTACCGTTTCAAAGGAACCTACCGTATTTTCGCGTAATAACGCCCATGAGCGTTATTTAGAAAATCGTACCCCTTAAAAATAGTATGCATGGTCTCAAAATAATGCCCATGCGCGTCCCTAAATAACGCGCACCCCGTATATGACCAGTCGCAAACCTGAATTTTTTTGCTTCAATTTGATGCTACTGTATTTGTTGCGATATAAAAGTAACGTTTGGTTCCATGGTGAGCTATTTATATTAAACTACCAAAAGCTGTAGAGTTCTAGAATTTGTACTGTACATATCATTATTTATTTTCTGCGATTTATTTATTTTATTTTTTTATTTTTAAACTTTTTTTTTTAACTTTTTTTTAGTTAATTTATTTATGGCAATTTCTATTTGGACACTAGGTGTATTGACACTTGATTACACAAAACAAATATGGTGCAGGAAGTCTTAACTAGCCATTGTTTCAATTTTCTATATGCAGTGTAACCTAAATTAGCCAATCAGATT